CTCCTTTCTTCAACCTCAATGGAATCCACACTCGATCCTATAAACCTAAAATTTGTAAAATGCAGAGTGCCGTACGCCGGACTAGTAGGAGATGACAATGGTATGGCGTGCAATAAGAAGCACAAGAAACTCTCATTGGGTGAGCTTATGAAACCACTTGACATGTTATAAAATAAGATGGTATCTATTCCTTTCTATACAACAACATAACAATGAGAAAAACGTTTTCTATTATTTATCATGTAACAATAAATTCATATATGTATATTCGAAGAAATTACTTCATCTAGAATTGATTATATCTACTTTATCAAAATATTATCTCGAAAAAGTCTATTGATCATTCAAAACTTTCAATTTAAAAATTAAAGTAAATGAAATAATTATTCTTCTAGTATATCTTATTAATGTTGGTAACATTCTAAAACAATTCTGTGCATACTAGACTTAAAAATGACGTGTAACATCTTCGGTGAACCTAGTATGAGTAACTGATGCCTAGAAAAACATTTTCATTTTATTTAATTATTTCGGTATTTCGAACAGAAATTTCTTTCTTTCTATTTTCTTTCGCACTACACGAGTGTTTATTTCACTTGTTTGTGCAGTTTGATAAACTTCGGAATATTCATCATGATTATTTCTAAAAGTTAGAACTTGATTAGTTCATCTAAAAAAATAGCTTTCTATTGATATTTGGTATCATATTTCAGCTGTTCTAAAGACAGACGATCACAAGAAAACAGAAACAAAAGTTTTACTTATCTATTTAATTCAGAAGTGAATAATTTTGATCAACATTCTTATATTATCATAGTAGCTAAAGAATAAATAGAATTATAGGATCTTCTCTGATTTTTGTCGGATTACATTCTACAGTCTCAAGTATATTGAAAAAATTTTAGTTTTATTTTAGCAATACAATCAGAGTATGTCGTTTTCCATTCTCTTAAAAGTATTTACCTGTAATATTTTTGATATACTATATTATTCATGCTTTGAAGAAGATCAAATTTATTTTAAGAATATCATTTTGCAGAAAATCTTCTTTTCATTAAAAGAGTTTTATATATTTAATCCATCTTGAATTGAAACATTTATGAGAGTTTCTTACAAAAACAAGATTACCTTTTCTGATATGTGAATAAAAGATAATATGATGCGAAGCAATGTGAATTTTTCGCAAAGGAATTTCTATCAACGTAAGAACGATAAACGATTTCATCTAAGAACCTATTAAAGATTTGAAAATCTTTATATCATTTCGAGATATGGATCTCTATAACATAAGTCAAATGAATTTCTGACAACTCGCGGTTTTCTAGAACATCATGACACAAAGTATGCAGGCCGAATGCATATAGAACCACCTACATAATTCAGAGGTTTTTTTTCAACAAACGATAATATGCCACTTACATTGTCGACATTTATAATGAGAAAAATATTGCATATGGATTGTTTAACTGTCTCTCTAGGTGTTTTCAATCATCTTATACAATGATTTCTGTTTCTATTCTATTAAGATCGATAGATCAACGATACAGAATGAAGAATTCCATCGTAATAATGATTATCTAATATTTCCGATAGTTAGATTAATATGTATGTAACATCTATTATGTGACTAGTTAGTCGATAATTAGTAGCTTTTCATCTATAATAGTCGATTAGTTCACTAGTTGATTCATTTAATGAAGCAACCCTTTTTAGCAAGGAAATATAAGAGATTAGTTACACTAGACATATTTCATTGGTACTTCATGGAAAAGGAAAAAAGAAACAAAAGAGCTTCTTGATGCTACATTTTTCTATACATACATTATGAAACAGTAAAAATTGAGTGTTAGAAAATGCAAAGATTAGAGATTCGAAATCTGATACATCCGATGATCTTCTTGTATATAGTACTATCAAGAAAAGATCATTTGTCTAAGTTTTAATCAGATCGTTCCAGTTCTTTCTAGAATTTAGACTTAATGTTAGTATTGCTTTAAAGGAAATGAATTCACTGGTTTTGCTCCTTGAAAAGATTTGTTTTATATATTAAAGAAATTGTTTTCATAGTTGTAAAAGACGACTAGATCTAATGAAGATGAGCTTTGGTCGTTAATCTCTATTCACTCGTAATGTTCTCTTTAAAATATCTCATTTGTAATCATTCTTACATATATTTGGATAAGAGTCCAACATATTCAAGAACTTCATGAAACAATACGATTAATGAAAGTCTACAATCAATAATCTATCAAATAAAAACTTCTTGCATTTATACTTAATAATTTAAACAGAATTGAATTGAACAAGATAGTTATGAATTCATTTTTTGAAAGTTTTCGACATTGATATACATGCTTTACTATGAAATAAATCATAGATTATCTTTGAACAAGTATTATCATATCATATTTCTTCAAAGGAAATAATTTATAGAATTGTTATTAAATGTGACTCTCGCATGGCACATTTCTAATAAAATTGGTAGGAAAATGAAAAAAAAAAGCGATAATTATCGACTAAATCATTTTTCATCAACATTTGATACTATTAGTATTTGTATTATCAGTGGATCATAATATGATTAAACTGACTAATCCGAATAGTAGTCTATATTTGTAGATTGAAAATTGAGTGCTTTATTTAATGAATCATGAAGGTCGATATTGAAGTGAGGAACGTTTTATACATTCAATCTCACTCATTATTCCTACAGGTACTCAACATCTTCATGGATCACATATTAATGTAAAAAGTTTAGAGTGTTTATGATATAAGTACTAGAATAATGCATCATAGATATGAGATTCCTCAGAAATATTTCGAAAAAGGCAAATTCTCCAGCGATAAATCAATAAGAGACAATGTTGAAAATAATGAAATTCTTTCTTTGTCGTTTAATTTTTATGACAAAAGCTAAGGACCCATTCGAAAACGTTTTATTCTATAAAAGTCAAAATTGAATATGTTGATTCCCATTCTCAAATGGAACAGGAAATGATTCATCATTTTACATCTTTGAAAAACTATTATTTCTTATTGTCGTTTAGATTTCAAAATGAGAAAATTTTTTGTTTCATTGAAATAGTTTTATTATTAATATGAATTAGATTTAATTCAACAAAAAAAAAAAACATACTGATGTCCTGAAATTTATTCAAACTCATATTACATATAGTGAGTTTCTGAAGAAATATTGATCAATTCCAACTTAATTTTCTTTCTAACAAAGTAAGAAAGAAAACAAATTGTAATATTTTGAAGAATGATAGAAATAGAATATATCTAATTCGAAAATGAAAGTCAATCTATTAATAAGAAACGACAATCTTACAGTTGATATTGTTTTAAATGACAACACTCAAACAGTACATGTATATACTTTTTATTTCAATTGACTATCGACAAAAATTTATTCAGTCAAACAAAGGTCTATGATTAGAATTCAATGAAGAATGATTTATTTCATAATGCTATTCTTACATTATATTTGCATTTCGTTTTATGTCAATTGTTGTTAGATCACTATCCTAACATATTTTTTTACTAAACTAATCATTCTTACTTATTTACTGTTTATTCTATGGTGTCTATTTAATTGGTATCGAAATCTAATCAGTTCTATAGATATATATTTGTTAAGATGAATAATTATGTTTAGTTATGTGAAGTATGAACAATGAGATAAATATTCTCGTCGAATGAGTTTAATTTGTATTTGCAAAAAAAGTCATTGTAAGATCTCGTATATATACATATGAAGATGATCAGTAGAGTCCATCGGGTCCAAGTATTTTCAGATCCGAAAACGGACTCAGTCGATCAAAATTTTCCATTTGCTTCTAGTTATTGTTGGCACATAGACTTCAAGTCTATTGTTGATTATAAAGTCTTTCTACTAGAAAGTTAATATAGTCGATAAATATAAAATCTTGCTACTATTTTGTATTTACCACGATATCAAGTGTGTAGATTGCTAAGTTAGGATAATCGGAATAGAACACATAAAGGGCAGATAAATGTTATAAGAAACGAATGTTTTATAAAAGTTCATTTATATTAAAAGATTTTCGAAATTCTCTTGATTATATTGATTTCGGATAAGATACTTACTCGAAATAATAAAAAACCGTTAGCACTACAAGAGCACTATAACTCGTAAAAAACTCCTTACATCGTGACATACTACAGAAGCTACCAAGCCTTGAAACGGGCCATCCAACTCGACGATTTTATCCTTTTTTGACATACGTTTTTTTTGACAGTTGACTCACCTCTGAGGGAAGATAGGAGGAAAGTTTCCGCGCAACAGCCTCCCGGCCATCAATTTTTTTCTAAAAGATGATAAATATATAATAGGTCTCCATTGAGTAAAAAATCTTTGTAAACGAAATTTTCTTCGGGCTCGGGCCAGGCGGGGCGGGTCTAGGGCATTCGTCGACTCGGGCTGAATAAAAGTTGCATCGGGCCGGGCCATAAAAAAGTGGGCTGATTTCGAGGCCTGGAAGGTAGATGTTAAAAAAAAAGAGTTGATCTATCTGACCAGGCTGATCATCCTGATATATATAATAAACGAATGTCGTTTGTGAATAATTGAAAATGAAATGGTTCCATCAGTAATTGTTTATACAAATGCTTTTATAGTATTTCCAGTAGATGATGAAGCAAATACTGGTTTTATGGATATGACTAAACCACCAATAAGCGATATCCTATGAAACAACCTCAAACAACAACATCATTACCTCCATCAAATATAAGTAGTTCAAAAGAGAAAAATTTTAAAATGATATTTGATGCAAAACCAGTAGAATCATTTAAAAATCACCATTCAATGAAAAACTATAGTTTCGTTGTTTTTTATTAAAAATAGAATAGTTTTTTTTTTTTTGTGTGTGTTTTTTAAAATGAATTGATAAATGAATGTTGTTTGTCAATCATCTTGAAATGAATATAAATTGAATGAAATAATTGTCTTTTAATAAGTAAAATAATAATTTGATTTATTCTTTATCTTCTGACTGTGGTATAACAATACTATCTTCTCGATCAAAAATAGGTCGTTGAGATAATTTAGTCCGATAATTTTTATTAAAAACTCCTCGTGCCCATGTTAATGTTTCATTACAAATATTAATAGCCCAATATGCTTTTTGTGGTTGTACAAGCCAATCAGGATCATTAGTCAATAAATCAAGAAATTGTGCAACCTTATACCATTCTACAAGTAATTTCCCTTGTATAGGTAATTCATTTTGACGTGAACGTATATACGATATAAGAGAATTTAATGTTGGGAATTTTCTTGTATGATTAGTCATAACTTCAACAATTGATTCAATTGAACGTAAAATCATTAATAATGCTGTTTTTGTAATTGATGTTGATAATGTTATCTGTGTTAAATCATTTTTATTAAGTTTAATCATATGATTAAATGTACGTTTTAAATCAAGAAAATTTTCACTTAAATTATCTAAATTAAAATTTCCTGTTTTAGCAAATAAAAGTGCATTTTCAAATGATTTAACATTATCAGGATGATTTAAAGATGTTTGTCGATCATTTGATGGTGGAATATCAAATGCATATTGTAATAAGTGTTCATTTTTTTGAATTTCAGTTTTATGTCGAAGTTGTTCAGCAAGATCAAGTACTTGATACCAACGATTACGTGCAAAATGATGTGATTTATTATTATCAGAAGAAGAAGAATTCTCATCAGTTGACATTAATAATTATTTAAT